TGTTTTCATGTCATCCCTTGGAAGCACCCTGAAGCAAGGCCACCCTGAATTTTCAGCTGTTTCTAATCCCAGTTGAGAGATAAATCTGGAGTGTGGTATTTGGGGAAATCTCTTCTGCCACTACTTTTAGCCTGAACATTGGAAAGGAGGCAAGTGTTTTCATTTTGCAGAGAGCAGAAATCCACTGATTTAAGTGGGCTGCAGTTTGAGYTCACTATGGAATACACCTAACAGTGGTTGTGACACCTTGCTGACGTTCAGCACTTCCTCTAAAAGCCCCAAAAACAAAGCAGAAACTTTCCAAGAGATATTTGGTGAGAAGAACCAGTTTTGAAATGGGCTGCTTATAGGRACACTACAACCAACAGCTTTAGCTGGGTGTTGTTTCCCTAGAGAGACTTTCCAGAGTGACCTGTTGGTTGTGCAGTGTCCAACAGGAGATCAGGAGGGTTTGCAGCCCTGGTTAATCATTACAGTGGGCAGATGCTGTTTCTGAGGAGCAGTCACAGGGTTGGCTCCATGTGCCTCCTGCTCAATGAAAACAGCCTGAATTAATCACAGAAATAACTGAGAACTGTCCCAGTGTGAGCTGGCTGAGGATCTCACCCACAATATTTGATATATATTCAGTGGGTGCTAGAAAGTGATCTCATTTTTATTGAGACACAAGGAAATAATTCAAGAGTTCATCCATTACAATCTTCTGCTGTCTCAGTTTCAAGATTTCAATAATATGTCACGATAATAATGATTATATTCCACCAACTTTGGAAAAAATAGCTAGGTAACATTTACTAACTGCACAGGGATATACCAGATTGAGTGAAACGCTCAGACATAGCTTTTTTCCATTTACCTCCAAACACCAGCATGGTCCTCTTTCAGCAAAGTCTGCTCCATCACTGTTTATGCTACTGAGAAAAATCTAAAAAAATGGATAAACTTTCAAAGATAAATATGCTGACACAAAATTCAGCACACCACACGAAGAACTCCATTCTACCTAATTGTGCACAGGGTGATAATTTAGCACTGATTAAAGAGTTTGTATTTTTTTTTTTCAAATCTTTTTTAAAAGGAAAATTACTTCTGAAGGTGAAGATGTGCTTAGACAATCATATTAACATATTCAAACAATTGCAATTTGCAAAATAGTAATTACAACTCACTATCTGGTAGCATTAATCAAACTTCAAGGTTTAATTCCATTTTAAATATTGATGAAATGTGATTCTCCAATCTAACCCTGGTGTTGCAGGGTTATGGAAGCAGCCAGTGACAGAAAAAGAGGAACGTGTAGTTAACAAGCAGCTGCCACAAAGAAGGATCGGCATCTGTGATTTAAATTGTTAGCTGCACAGTCAGGTAGAGTGTAAAAAGGGTAGTCAAGAGGCTGTTAAGTCCATTGCTGCCAATTACTAACAATCAGGGAGGAGCTTTAAGACTTGTTCAGTACAATAAACCCAGTTTGTCTTGTTTCAGGGGTTACTACTGAAGAGGTTGCAGCTGCACTGATTCAAATAGCCCTAAAACTACAGTAATTATCAACCAGTCTTCTTTAGTGTAGCAAAAGTATGTTTTACCATAGCTTAACTCTTTACATTCTAATATTTCCCTGCCTCCTCTCCCATAGCCAGCCCTGGARCCATTCTCAGCTCTGGGCTGTGGTTCCTCTTGCTATCCTGGATCAATTCTTTCACTTCCCCTTACCCAGACCAAGGACTGCTTGTACCTCGCACTGGGTTGGATGGCACTTCTAGGGATTTACTTTACTTTGAGTCATTTCATCTATTTTTCCTTTCCATACACAAAGTTGAAATTCATATTGTTCGTCCAGTTTTTACATCTGGTTAAACTCTGTGCAGGTTAAGCGGGGCTTATGATCACGTATTTAATTTGCTCCAATCACTAATGAACGAAGGCATTTTGGAACAGCTCAGGCAGGGCTAAGATCCTTGGGGTGACTTGTCCTGGGTGCTTTCCTTGGAAACCAGGAAATCCCAGAGAGAGAAGGAAACATTCTGGGCAAACCAAGGCTGTGATGGAGACCTGGGAATTTAAGTTAATATCTGCCTTTTTTTGTGTTTATAACCTCGATGCTGAGCTGAGTGAGCTCTGTCAAAGGCTCAGACAGACCCAAACTGGTGATTTCTAGCACTCAGGTGAGCCGGGTGTTCCCAGCGACCAGCCAGACACTGGTGATGCACAACATCCTTCAAGTTTTGCTTATTCCTTCACCATGGCAGAAATAGAAAAAACTTCCATTTTCATGCAATTATTACAAGCTCAGGTAAACTTTTCTTTTTTTTTAACTAAGGCAATTCCATCTAAAATCACAGAGCCACACAGACTGGACAATATCTGTCACAGCCAAGGCTCACGTGATCACATCTGCAACTCCTAGTGCCTAGAACAAAAGCCAGCACATTGATTATGGCTTGGATGTTGTTTTTAAGAAAGCTTAAGGACCACATTTGCATTCCTGTTGCAGCCCTCAGTGGAATCTGCCTGTGAGGATTGCGTGGTCTTTAAGCAAGATTCATTGCTCATGTTTTTAATTCCTCTTTTAGCATATTTTTTTTCAGCATCTATTTTTCTCCTGCTTTAGACCCGAATTAGAAATACGCCGTTAACAGGGTATTTTGTTATGGATCCGTAAGGGATAAAAAGGAGATTAGTGAAATACAGGAGGAGTTGAACTTAGCTGTTTTATCCAAATTAACACCATTTTGTGTTTGTTAAAGCCAACAGTGGCTGATCTGCTGGAACAATGGCAGCACAAGCGTGTCCTCAGCCTATTCAAAGGTGGGCACTCCCCACAAATCCCAAAAACCCGTGAGTGGAACCACAGACTGCACGGAGCAAACTGGAGAGGCGGCTCTTGGGGAAACCTCCCTCCCCTTGCGATAGATCGCGATGTCGGGGCTGGCAGGGCACAGGAGCAAACCTTGGCACGTGTTTCCCTGTCTGCACCACCGGGATATTTCCCTCTCTTCACCACCGGGATGTTTCCCTGTTTCTTTTCCCCCGGGATGTTTTCCCGTCTCCTCCACCACCGGGATGTTTCCCTCTCTTCACCACCGGGATATTTCCCTCTCTTCACCACCGGGATGTTTCCCTGTTTCTTTTCCCCCGGGATGTTTCCCTGCCTCCTCTATCACCGGGATATTTCCCTATCTCCACCGGGACGTTTCCCTATCTCTTTTCCCCCGGGATGTTTCCCTATCTCTTTTCCCCCGGGACGTTTCCCTATCTCTTTTCCCCCGGGATGTTTCCCTGCCTCCTCTATCACCGGGATATTTCCCTATCTCCACCGGGACGTTTCCCTATCTCTTTTCCCCCGGGATGTTTCCCTATCTCTTTTCCCCCGGGACGTTTCCCTATCTCTTTTCCCCCGGGATGTTTCCCTGTCTCTTTTCCCCCGGGATGTTTTCCCTCTCTTCACCCCCGGGATGTTTCCCTGTCTCCACCGAAATATTTTCCAACTCGTGAGCAGCACCTCATGAGTGCGTTTTCCCAATTCCCTCGGCCAGCAATGAGAGAAAAGGGAGGGCAGCATGAAAGGAAAGAAAAACGAAGAAGAAAGGAAAGAAAAACGAAGAAGAAAGGAAAGAAAAACGAAGAAGAAAGGAAAGAAAAACGAAGAAGAAAGACAAAGCTGACTTGATTCACAACGCGCCACAGTCAAGAAGATTAATCCCCAAGCTTGACGATTTGTGCATCAGACCGAATTTGTCACACACTCCTCCCCTCTGGGAACTTTTAACTTCTTAGCTTTAGCACTTCATTCCCTTTCGCATTTCAAATGCTCCTCTGTCGCTTYAACATAAAGGTAAAACTCCACAGGCAAAACATCTCCATGAAAATTTGACTCCCAAAGAAGCAACAATGCTTCTTTCTCGGTTTTTTTTTTTTTTCTGACTGCCCAAGCAGGGTGCTCAGATGTGAATAAATAGAACCCTGATGGTCACAGCGCCGGKGTTACACCCCCTCAGCTCCATCATCCTCCCAATCATCTGCTCTTTTACGTAACAAGGGCTGCCACAAACCCTCAAAATTTAMATTTTTTGCACACATCACAAGCAGCTAATATGRATYTRTTAAAACAGTGGTAAACAAGAAACWGCTCGAATATATTTCATTTATATAAAAATAAATACAGTTATTTAAATAATACTTTGAATATTTTTTTCAAGGCTTTTTGAAGTTTGTTTTTCCTGGTTTACTACACAGATCTTTTTTCTSCTACACAAACACAAAAGAAAATGCTGCAGAACAGTTTTTGGAGACAAGACTATTTAAATCCCTGAAATTAAGAAGCCACAACTTAACATTTGCCAAGCTATTTTTTTTTGCAAATCATGCACAAAATTACTATTCAAACTTTGCTGGTCAGTTGTTTTTTTCCTACATTGTCTTTGCTTTTATTTTCCTTCCACACTGTCATTATGCTCTCAGAATAAATACGACAGACATGAATACTAACAAGGGACACAGGAGTTGGTCTAAAATATCTCTCAGCCACTACACGTACCTGCCACAACACACATCTCAAAACCAGCATGGAAAGAAAAGCTGAAAGACAAGAATTTGGGATTTTACTATAAATTTTTCTTTATCTTCACTTTCCATCAACTGACAAGCAGCACAGGCAGAGTACTTCAAAAACGCCTTTCCTAATTTCTGATAGTTTCAACATTTCTCCTGCATATTTTGCCCAAAAAGGCAAAATATAAAATCTCTACRTGTAAATCTCGTAGTTCACCCAAGCTGAGCTCATCAAACACATGAATCAGTCCTTGCCGCAGAYCCAGTACCTCCTGCTCTGACAAATTCCCACAAAACAGCACACAATCTTTTAAACAAACAAMAAAAAWGAGTCCTAAGAGATGCCAATGGCTAAAAACGGGTCTGTTTTTTAAAGGAAAAATGTCTCCATGGAGCTGGACCCCAGTGATGCAAAGAGGGGATATTTAATGTTCTCTTTCTCTCCCTTTCAGACGATGAGGAGCACGAGTGGATCATTCGGAACTGCCGGAAAGCCTGGGATATAATAGATGAGGACAAACCCAACCCTTAAAGCAGTTTCTGCTCAGACAATATTCCAGCAAAGCAGGTAATCTGATTCACAATAAACGCAATTTCTCCTCGTGGATTCGTCTCACCCTTTCCCTTGACAGGAATATAATCTTTCTGTCATCTTTGTCAGCACAAACAAAAATGGAAATAATCATTTAATCAGTCATGCTGAGCAAAAGCCATGGCAAAAAAAAGCCGACTGTACTCACAATAATATTCCTGAGAGGTGTGCAGTGTAGTATGTATAAACATTATTAAGCCTGAAAACAATTTGTTAAAAAGAGTGCCTCAGATTCAGTGTTGAAGTCATTCAAATCCATCTTAATCAACATTATTTTCCCAGATTTTAGTTAGCTGTCCTGGTGAATTCCTTTCCTCTCTTTTTGCTCAGTACTTTGATATTGATTGATCATTGTAATAATGTACACCAGAGGTATTCTTTAATGACTGGTTTGCTAACTAGGAAATTATATCCATTTACTACGAACGTTTGTTGAACTCTCCTGAAGCCAGAGTTTAACAAAATAATAAAAGAGGAAAACTGGGTGGGTTGCTGCTTGATTAGTAAGCCAGAAAGTATTTAAAAATAAAATAAAATGGAATTACATCATTTTCTGGATGTAAGTGCCAGCACTTCTACTTGCATTAACTTTATTTATTACACAAATAAGACATTTACAAAGCACAACATTAAAAGTATGTAACAAAACAGACATTGGTTTTACAAAAAGTGCTTACAATTTTGTTTTACTTTTTTAAAATAAATATTAGTCTTGACTGTCCACTCATTCAGAGAAAAAWTTTTTTAACCATTGTAGCCAAGACATGCAGAATTGCAACATGCTACAACAAAATGATTGGCAGATGAAATAAAACTGGTGTTTAGTTGGCATCCTACAGATAAATCACTGATAGAAGTGCAGGATTGGTTCCCACTCCCCGTCCCAACGAGTGAGTTGTGTAAGCACCTTTAGCTCGGGCATTGGGGTTAACCAGCATGAGCCAAAAAAAAAAAACCACTGGTGATAAAACCTTCAACCATCCCCTTCCAGAGCCGAGCCCTATTAGTTACCTTGTTAAACTGCCGTGAAGAGCCTTTCACTGGCTGTYTTCAGTGGATTCTGTCTGCAAAAGGGTTTGCAAAGAGCAACTGGAAAAGTTTAGTGCGTGGAGTCTGCATTGCTGCACCAGAACCCATCTGGCAATTACTGAATAAACTAAGAAAATGAGAATGACTTTAATTTTATTTTTTTTTTAATCCACAGACAGGAGATGAATGCAAATGACCTGAGATAAGGTTTGGTTCAGTGGCAACAGTCAGTGTGAAATATGTTGTGAAACAATGTATTGAATAAATTAGAAGATTTCTTACATTCTTGGTACAGTTGAGTATTTTCCATACACATAATTAGCTCTAAAACTGCACAAGCTGAATTGCTTCCAGTTTTTGCAAACAATTTGGGCTTAATATAAACAGAGCCTGATTTCTGAATTAGCAAAGCTGCTCCTGGCTACTTATGGGGGGAAGTGCCCCGAGCACAGTCTGTGGTGAGCCCACGTCCTGGAGAGAAACACCTCAGCCCCTGCCTTGCACTCTGGCCCTGCTGTGGTATCAGTTACAAACCTTTGGATATYCAGTACATTTCACAAGTGGAGTTTTTCTGATCAAGTTGGTATTTAGCAGATACATATTTCATAGTTTCCCTTTCATTGCACCACAGAGACTGGAGAGAGAAATACATCAAACCCTTTTTTCCTTCCTTGGCAATCTCAGAGATTGTGGGATGTCAGGGAAAGTTACAGCCTGAAGTCTGTCCTTCAGTCTTAAAAGAACTCATCCTTTATGGCACTAATTCCACAACTAAATGGTCATCAGGATGTGGGAGCACAAATGGAGAACAAAGCCAGGCCCTGGTGACCCCCGGCCCCGCGAGCATCTGGAGATGACAGCTGTGATGGCCAACACTCACCAGCAGCCAGCCCAGGGAGCACCATCCTTCACTCATTGCCACGGACAAGGACAAAAAGAACTGCAACTGGTGCAACTGGTGCAACTGGTGCAACTGGKGCAAGTGGGGAGTGCCCCCGCAGCGGTGGTTCCAGTCAGGTCAGGTGTGCAGGAGCGCCTGGTCACCGGTCACACTCTGGAAACGAGCACTCGCACATCAGGAGGTGACAATAATATTGTGTGGATTTAAATCCCCTCTCTCCTTTCAAATGTTATTTTAAATTGGGGATAGAGCTGCTGGCTGCAGTGAGACATTTACTGGCCYGACTGTCCGAGGTAGAACCATCACCCTCTCAGTGTCTGTGCACACACAGAACAGTGTTTGTGTGTTTGTGGATGTGTTTGTTCCAACCTTCACCAAGCTGTGCTTGTGCTCGGTTACTTCTCAAACCAAGAGATCTCGGTGGCCACCTCAGCAGATGTCCCCATCTCCTCACACCACGTTCCTCGTGTCTGGTTGCTGGTGTCACACGGTGTTTGGAGACACAGGAGAAGTCCCCACGTGTGCAATGYGGGCTGGCAGGAGCAGTGGGATGGCTGCCCACCCAGCCCATCTCGGAGATTGATCCAGGATCTCCCGGAGAGGAAAACACGTGGATCTACAGCTCCAATTAAAAACAAGTTCTGGAACAGATGGATTCCCATCTCCCGCTCCTCRGGCACGGTTCAGTCACATCCCTCACGAGCTGTGGCTCAGGACAGGCTTTCACATTCTTGGAAGGGTGGCCTCACAGACACTTCACAGCAGGACAGACCCATGTGGAGAGAGGTTCTGTTAGTGACCTGCTCTTGTCTCGGTGCAAACTGAGAAGGGCTGGCAGAGGTCACTTGTTTACTTTTCCTTATTACCATCAACGAGAGATCATTTTGGAGTCCTTTTCCTGACTTGGGGCCAGACTGCTGAGCATTTCCTTTGCTGTTGCCRTGAGCCCAGCAGCTCTCCTGGGATTTACCCTCATCCCAGGGCCTGGCAGGACCGACAGCCGAGCGAGAGAGGAGGGCAGAGGGAGWCAGAGGATGCTGCTGGACAAAGGAAGATTCCACCCCCTTGCTGTCCACTTGGCCAGGGACCACTCCTGCTGGCCTTATTGTAGTTTTCACCATTTTAACCGGTCTCCAGTTTCTACCCCTCTGTTTCCACTGACTGAATTTKAGTCCACAGCAGGGCAGAACTTTTCTATACCTTTATGGACACCTTCCACTGAGCATTTCCCAGTCCCAGAGCATGGATGGTCTGAGAGTTTTCTGTAGGTACATTCTGAAATCACCCATTTGTGATCCAATATGACTCCAAGGAAATAAAGTAGCTCGTTAATAAAGAACAAGAGTAAAAAACTTTAAAAAAAACAAAACAAAACAAAATGATTTGGCAGATGGCTGTGAGAGGAGAGAGATATTCAGTGTTCTAAGAACAAGTCAGCAATCAAAAACTTCAGTGTGCTAAACCTGGCTCTGCCACCAACCCTCATGGTTCCTCTCACTTTAGGACATCTCTGTTTCCCCTCCTATAAACGGGGGGAAAAACACCAAGATTTACTTACCTTTGAGTGATCAAAGGTCATGTGATTCTAAAGCACTTTGAGGAGGAAGAAAAACTGCCTATTTCCAGCTGGCATCATGTTTTCCACTCAGTGGAGTCTCAGCTACCTGTGAGTTTGGCTCGGGAAGGTCTGTCTATGTATCGAGTTGCTGAGCCAAAAGCCAATTTCAGCTTTCACACATGCGAGTGGAAAAGGAGGAGGGATGTCCAGGAACCGCTTCACTGGTGCAAAAAGAGAATCAGGCCAAACCACGTAAATTCCTCCTTCCTTTATGTTCAGAGGCGATCATCSACCCCTCCAGAGCTTCAGCATGTTCTGGGCTGTTCATATCCCATGGGATTTGGGAGCAAGACTTGCGAGCACAGCAGAGTCACCAGTCGTGCCTGTGTCTGGCACTGCCTCGGAGAGACTCACGGTCATTCTACAAGTCCACAAGAAACACGTGTAAAATGTAACTGTGCACTCAACACACACATACACGGAGCGTCGCTGGACAAATCGGAGCGGGCGGCAGGCGCTGGTCAAAAGGGAGAGCTGAGAGTGCTGGGTCTGAGCTCCTCCTGTGGGACTGGTGGCATTGCCGTGGGCTGGGCACTGCGGCAGCGGGGCACTGCTGCTGCCAGGGCCATGGGCACGTGAGGAAAGGTCCGAGCAGTCAGTACTGGAAGAGGATGACCTGGGGGGAAAGGGGAGGGAGGTCAGCAGCTTTCAGAGATACAGAGCGCTCACAACAGCCCTGTGCTTTCAGGGAGAGCAGAACACACACGGGGTCTGCTGTGGCAACCGCTTCTTCATGGGAAAACCCTCTCTGGAAGCACCGTCTGCCCAGGGACCACCAGCCCTCCCCACCAGGGAGGAGTGACGGGGCTGTGGCATGGGGGCACAACACCTTCAGCTGTGGAACGGAACAAAACGGGGCAGAGCACCAAAACAGGCATTTCATTCATCTGTTCTGCAATACAGCAGCTATCGAGAAAGGCAAAGATCAGGATCAGCAGTGCTGAYTGTCCACCTCAGTCACTGATCAGCACAGGATCCCCTCAAACACTGCTCAAAAAAAGACCTCATTATTCTGCAGGTCCAGCCCCTTCCCTGCCCTCTGGTTGGGGAGCAGCTGCTGAGCTGATCACAGCTCAGTTYTCCCAAACTTTTCCCAAAAGTTTCCCCACAGGCAGTGGGAAACACACACTCAGCGTTTAGATGTGTTTTCCCAGGATCTCAGCTATCACTGCTTTGAAAAATTTTTGGATGTGGGGGAAAAAAAAGCTACTTCGGTTTTCAGGAATTCTCCATGCAAGCAGATTGTTTGGAAAAGGAGCTGGTGGGGGCAGCTCCGTGTCCTGAGAACTCTGTTCTGCAACAGCTGTGAGCAAGAAATTGCATTTAAATCAGGAGATGCTTGCTGCAGTGAAGCTTCTCTAACAACAGCACCAGGACTGGATAAAGTTTTCTGAAAACTCCGCAGCTTGCTGGGCCGATATCATGACAAAATGGTAGAATTTAGACTGAAAAAGTAATTTTGCTGTGCCCCTGCTTCTGTCCATTGAAACAGAGCTTCATAAGCTGCTGCTGCACTGAGATTTGAAAAGAGAGGTGGTGAGAACATCTAACACTAAAAACAAAAGCTAAAATCGCTAAGAGTTGCCAAAGGCCCAGTGTTTCCTCAAAAGGAAGTTATTGAACCTGGAAGATAAAATCTTCCAAGCCTAAGCATGTTTGAAAAGTCTTGTCCCCAATAATCTGTGTGTCAGAACAGATACTGTAAGTGTTGARCAGAAAAATATCAACAACCAACATTGTCTCCTGGCCAGACATTGTGAAACAACATTCCTACTTCAGATATTGTAACAGCCAGTTGTTATTTTTTTAAGCAATACTGCAATCCGCAAGAAATGAATATTTTTTTATGTTAACTCGTGGAAAACTGGGAAGTTTACTGGTCCGTTGCTAACAGCCAGTTGCTGTTCACACCACAAAACGTGCAGGAATGGAGCAGGACACAGTTTGGGGTACACAGGGAGGGGGAAACAGAGAGGATTTGGGCAGAAGGGTGTGAGAGCCTTCAGGGAATGCAGGCACAGCATCCCAGTGTGTCACAACAACGAGGGGTGGCCAGAGAAAAACACAGTGATGCCATTTTGACCAACAGTGAGGACCTAAGGGCCCCCAAAACTAAGGGAAGACACATGGAGATGGTGGAGGAGCAGGGACAGTGACAGGGGACAATGTCACACAGGAATCTTTGCTAGAGGGAAGGGTTGGCCCCAGAGCCTGGAGCAGGGACTACATTTACCTTCTCACCCCTATTAGACAGTGGTCCTTCCATGTCTGCTTTGAGGTGCACTGGTGGAGCAGTGTAGGGAAGTCTACAGTGCACTTGTCCACACTGTACCTGACCTGTGGATGAGAAGGGGTTTCAGCCTCTTTTATTGCAAGCAACAAATGCTCTGTACCCAGCATGGCCGGGCTTCCAGCGGGCACACGGGGAACAGGAGGGGCCCAGAGGGTGAGTGAGGGGAGAAACCTCACAAGAGGCAGAGCCAGAATCTCTGACTAGGTTGTAATCAAAGCTGCCCATCACTCCCAAAGCATTCTCTGGTGCTGGGAAATGTCACAGAAAGCAATGCCACTGTTCTGAGCGGGTAAAAGAGCACCCGGCCTGCCAGGGCACACTCACACCTCTTGTCCATGGCACAGCACAGGAGCACCAAGGAGCAGGGTGGTAAAACAGGCACTGATTTAAGCTTAATCCCCAAGGTAAAATCAGTCAAACACGAGCAGCACCGGGAGGGTTTTGACCACGGTGGCACCGCCTGTCCCGGGCACTGCCCCTGCCCTTCCCAGCCCCATCTCCTCTTACTTTCGATGTATCCGTGCAGTGTCACCATSCGAGCCCGCTCCGGGCTGCTGAAGGGCGAGTAGTGGATGTCATCGGGCAGCGAGGAGGGGATGCGGGACGGGGGCGCTCCCGACGGCGGCACCGTGTGCTGCGGGGTGTGTTTTTTATGGCGGGCTCTGCAGTTTTGAAACCAAACCTGCAACAAAAGCGGCAGAGTGTCAGCTGAGAGACGATTGGGTTGAAGCGTGGTCCTTCACCAACATCCTTGGATGGGTGTCTTTCCAAAAGTTTTACAAAAAAAGGAATAAAATAGAGAAATCTGCGCCTCATCAGCTTCCACAGTTTTGTTTTACACTCATTAGAGCAAGAGTGAAGCTGCTTATGTAAAACTTTGTTCCTCAAAATGATGGCAGCACCTCCCAAAATCTCATTTAAATTTTCATCTGCAACCCCAYCTCACCTGGCCTAAAAGCACCACTGAGATCAGTTGAGAAACTTAAGCATCAGCAAAAAGAGAAACAAGAGAAGACAAATATGAGTAGAAGCTTAAMCTAGGATAAGTTATGACTTTAGGAACGATGAAAACAATATTGTTTTAATCACTTGTGGTTTGTCAWATTCAAAAACCCCATCAGCAGAATATCAAAGCTAAGAAAGGAGGGTGCTGTGGTGGGATACAACCACAGACTGTGTGAGCAGCAGGTATGAGATCTCTGATCATATCTCGCTGCTTTTAATTAAAGGACTGGTTAGGGAATTACATTCTAGAGTTAAAACATGCATAGATGGATTTTTTTTATGCTGAAGAGGTGATCTGTTCCTTATGCTTTAATTCCTGAAAGATAGCTGGGAGTAAAAMCCTTCTCCAAGGCTGAGTGAAGATCAGCTCTCCAAGGCAGAGCACACTGGACTACAGAGAAGGAAACAGTCATAAGCATTTGACAAATTGTTTCCTGTTCAAAGCGCCTTTAAAAACCATCCMCATAAAAAATCACCCGGTGCACAGCGTGCTTGATCTTCAGCTAAATGAAGTCTCATTAACAGAGGCTCGAGCCAGATTTTCACACACAAAATTTAAATGTGTCACTGGCAAAACAATCTTGGATGAAATCTCACAAATTTATTTCAATCATTCGTGTTTTTATTGTATGCAGAAGGTATGTGAGAGAACATTCAAGTGACGAGTATAAATGTCACCAARAGGCAGAGCTGGGCTGTCTGTGAACTGCAGAAGGGACATTTCTCAGTCCACTCGCCCTCCCCAAGCTCAGGGATGGGGACTTTTCTGTCACTGTGTCCCCTGGGCCTGAAAAACCCCTTTTTTCCTTAACCTTCTCCATCCCAACACTTCCTGCCCTGGTGAGCTCATGGCACGGCTGGTGGCCAGGAAAGCTCTAGGACCTTGTGCTAACAGCACCCAGGGATTTACTGGGAATGGCTGGGGCTCTTGGGGTTTTGAAAAACAAATAGAAAACCCATGACCGAAGCAGAGGAAGGAAGGTGCTGAGGAGCAGAGGAGCCATCATGCAGAGGAGGCAGCACGAAGCTGCTGGAGGGGCATGTCCGGGGCTGTGAGCCCTGTCCTGTGCCAGCCCCCAGCTGTCCCCTCCGGGGCTGTGAGCCCTGTCCTGTGCCAGCCCTCAGCTGTCCCCTCCCTGCCCTGCTCAGCCACACGGTGCCATCGCTGCCCTCACCTGAATGACTCTGCGGCTCAGCCCCGTCATGTCCGCCAGCTTCTGGAGCGTTTGTGCGTCGGGGTTGTTGTCCTGAGCGAACTGTGCCTGCATGACCTGCGGGGAGAGGGGACAGGGGCTCAGGAGGAGGCTGGGGAGCCTCGGCCCCTGCAGCCCCCCGGCCCTCCTGCCCTACCTGCAGCTGCTCGGCGGTGAAGGAGGTGCGGGCTCTCTTGGCTGGTTTGGGCTGGCTGTCCTGCTCYGAGGGCACTGCCCCTTCCAGAGTGATCCCATTGCCTGTGGGGGACAAGCTCTGTGAGCCACAGCTCAGAAATCCACCTGCCACCTGCACCTGCTCAGCTGGGGGATGGCAAACAGTGCGGGGCACTGCAGTGTGGGGCACCCAGAGCATCACAG